CTGCATGGAGCACTGGGTGTTATGCACAAACAATGAATCATGGAACACTTCATCTAAAACTAATGATGTAATGTATGGGGATTAACATAAAAATAAAAAAATGGCAAAAAAAAAAACCGTTCAACTAAAATATGACGATACTTTAAAGGATGTACTCTAGAAAATACACATTTATCTAAAAAAAAAAAAAAAGAAATAGAACATCCTTATGGTAAATTTTGCTTCTCTAAGCTTCTGGTGTTGGCATTCGCTTTCTGATAGTCAGTGCTACAAACTCCAAAGCAGACAGTCAGATATTATATAATAGGCATCCCTGTTTATCTAATCACCTTAAATTTGGAAAACGTGTGTTCATTATTTGTTTGTCTAATGAGCATCTTTTTGCTTAAAATGGTGGTATTTTTGAGCTGTGATCAAAGTGTCATGTTCTTTTGCAAAAGCATCATGCTTTCTAGATGTTCTGCTGCCTGAATGAGTCTGAGAACCTGAAGGGCCTGTGTCAGGACTTGGTGATAAAGCCATCTGTGGTATGAGGGGAACTCTGACAGCCCCAGGCAGGTGACAGAGGGCCAGACTGTGGGGAGGAACCCCCGAGGGTCCCCCAGAGGACTCCTGGCTCTCACCCAAGCCAACTTCTCACGTTTAGAAAACCCACAACCCACCTTCTTGTCGGAGTTCCTCAGACGCCTTTTGTAAATCAGCCAGACTTCCATCCACTCCATCCGTAAAATGAATGACCACCTGAAAATAAAGGATCAGTCAAACCCCAGCCACAATTAGAAAGAAACATTACAGACTTCCAGAGGGGAGACTGGACCATTCAAACCCTCCATCTTACAGTTGAGGACACTGGGGCCAATGCTGAGAAACAATCATCCCCTGGGCATAGGTCTTTGATACTGTGCAATAAATGAGGGATAAAATAAATGAGTCTATTGTGGTGCTTGGTTAACTTAAAAAATCACAATAAAAATAAAGACAGTTTATCTCAAAAAAAAAAAAAGAAGAAGACATACAAATGACCAATAGGTATATGAAAAGGAGCTCAACATCACTACTTATCAGGGAAATGCAAATCAAAACCCCGAATAGCCAGAGGAATGTTGAAAAAGAAAACCAAAGCTGGTGGCACCACAATTCCGGACTTCAAGCTCTATTACAAAGCTGTCATCATCAAGACAGTATGGTACTGGCACAGAAAACAGACACATAGATCAATGGAACAGAATAGAGAACTCAGAAATGGACTCTCAACTCTATGGTCAACTAATCTTCAACAAAGCAAGAAAGAATATCCAATGGAAAAAAGACAAATGGTGTTGGGAAAATTGGACAGCCACACACAGAAGAATGAAACTGGACTATTTCCTTACACCATACACAAAAATAGACTCAAAATGGATGAAAGACCTAAATGTGAGACAGGAATCCATCAAAATCCTTGAGGAGAACACAGGCAGCAACCTCTTCGACCTTGGCCATAGCAACTTCTTCCTAGACACATCGCCAAAGGCAAGGGAAGCAGGGGCAAAAATGAACTATTGGGACTTCATTCAGATAAAAAGCTTTTGCACAGCAAAGGAAACAGTCAACAAAACCAAAAGAAAACTGACAGAATGGGAGAAGATATTTTCAAATGACATATCAGATAAAGGGCTAATATCCAAAATCTATACAGAACTTATCAAACTCAACACCCAAGGAACAAATAATCCAATCAAGAAATGGGCAGAAGAGGGGCACCTGGGTGGCTCAGTTGGTTAAGCGACTGCCTTCAGCTCAGGTCATGATCCTGGAGTCCCGGGATCGAGTCCCGCATCGGGCTCCCTGCTCAG